AAACTTGGTTGCAGATGTCTAGGTCTTTTCACTTTTAAATACATCATTTTGTACAGATTTTTTTAAAAGAAATAATACAATATTATATCTGAATTAAATTTTTATTCTACAACAAAAAAAAAATATTTTAATGTTTAAAAATACATGTTAGGCTGATAAATAATAGGCCGACAAATAATAGATTAAATACCTAAATACTAATTTTAAATGACAAAAGTACAGTAGAGGAAGTTACAAATATTAAAATTTCCAGGATACTTTAAAATTAAATTGATGGTTGCATATTTGTTTTATTTTAAACAATTTACTTTCTTCTTGTAATTTCTAAAAGCTACAAATTTTTAGTGAACGGGTCGTCCTTATTGATTCTGCAGTGAATTGTACTAACAACTTAAAAGAAATTTTGTCCAATCTCTATACCACAATAAGGAACGATCTGCTTGTTTTGGAACCCTAAAATAATATAAAGGCACTTCTTTCATATCCTTTATTTTTGCTAAATCTTATTACTTACTTGTAGAATGTAACATTTGAATCTATTGGCAACAGTTTCCTTATGTTCTTGCAAGATCTTACAAGACAAGACATCTTGAATAAAGCCCAGTATAGAGAACTTATACTGGGATTAAAGTCTATTCACAAATGTTAAAATAAATAAAACGTTTATACACTTAGAAAATAATATCCACAATCAAAATATTCTAAAATAACACAAAAAAAATTTAACCAAATTCACAAACACATTAAAATTTGACACTTTTGACAGATGGAAAGATAAATTGGTTGCATAAGTTTCAGTTTGTTTATATAAAAATGGCGGTCATTTCTATCTTCTTTTATTAAACACTCAGTAAAGATGCGCAGAGGGTTTTACGCCGTATACCTATTTAAGTATGTGGTCATTGCTAGTCCATTTTATTTTCTGAAAAACTACCATTAAAAATACATTGCAAATCAAGAGATTTAAAATTTGTCTATGCAATGAAGAAAGTCTATGTCAAGTAATTTCAAAGTTGAAAGGTTTTTATTGTTTTTCTCGGAAGGCAGATTTTGGACATATACGGTTTTCGAACTCACTGATTCAATTTTAGAAGGTGATTACAGTTTATCAAAACTGCAAAATCGAAAAACTTACGGAAAATTACAAAAAGCTTCTAGATTTGTAGTTACTGTTTGTAGTGAAGTTGAAAAATGTATAAAAACAGTTTCAATGAACATACACAGTAATAATATTATTAACATTGCCAATATAAAATGAAAAATTAGTAAATAGTTCTATGAGATATTTGCCTTCAAATATTTTAACCATATTTTTGATTTTGAACCACTTAATGACCATTTTGCATTACTGTCACGAAGCTCATTTTAGGTAAATATATAGACATTCGACTTCATCATGAATTTAATAAATTAAAAACTGTTAATAAAGCCAGGGTGAGAAGTTTACTTACAAAAAGTATTTTATTTCAGAATCAGTAATTTTTAATGTTAATTATTTGTTTTTATAATTTTTTGTCTATTTTTAAGTTTCCACATGCTCTTATTCTTTATGTACAATATTTTAATATATGTCCATCTATTATCTGCATATTGTGTCCAGACGATACTAATTTTATCATTGAAGACATAATAGTTTATAGTAACTGCATTGAACAAAAGTAAAGAAATATTGTTATTGTTCGGACAATGGCCTAGTTATAGTACCTCAAAAAATTTTTTTCTACGATCACTATCCAAAGTAGGCTTTTGCACATTCAAATCTAATTAGAAAGTTGACGTTTTTCGCGAATTATCATAATTTTACACTATTGGTGCAAACGTGCGCCAAAGTAACTTTGGCACACGCTTGCCTGTTTTCATTTGAATGAAATAAATGAAAGCTAATCGGTATTTTAAAACAAAATGTAAGCTAATCTAAAATATTAAATTGACTTCCTAATATTTTAAATCATTTAACAGTATTTTCTGGAAATAATTAAATCAATAAATCAAAATAATTACCGACACATAAACCTTTTCTCTTCGACAGACTTTCTGTCTCAACTGTCAAAGGTGCTACTTTCTGTTCTTAATACACAAATAGCTATTTTGTCTTTTATTCCAAAATATGCTTTACAAAATATCAGTTATCTTATAACACTAACTAAATCTGTTGAGCAGATTCTTCACCAAGAGTGTTTGTAGGAGTAACCATTGATAGTAAAATAACATTCGAAATGTCACAAAAGAATCCTCTTTCAGTGTTTTTTCTATTCGGACAAATTAGAAATAAAGTATCTCTTGAAAATCTTAAGCTAATGTGTTTTAGCCTTGTCCAGATATTATAAAATCATTGCTGATTACTGTCCTAAATGAGTTATTATATCATTAGACAAATAATGCTAAAAATAAGTGTCGTGACATACAACCCAAATGGTATGTAATGGAAAGATCATATTTGTATATTTATGTATCTGAAATAAAATTGTTCTGTTTTTAATAGTTTTTTATTTCAGAAAAACAGGTAGTCCGGCAATATAATTATTCTTTTTTCGACCTGTAGAAAAGGTTTTCTGACAGTACCCATGTAAAAATAATAATAAATGGCTTTATTTTTACTTGCTCTTTGCTCTTCATGTATTAAAAAAAAATACCTACTATTTTAATCTATAAGAAAATATATAAAATGACTTTTTGAATGCCCTGTATAAAGTGAATATGTTTTCTTTAAATTTACCTTTGATTCCGAAGACCCATAGGTTATTGATTTGGCCATATAATGTTTACTAAAAATATATGTAAACCCTCCCGAAACACTACATCTATGTGCGACGTACGATTCCACTTTCCCCGTCTGGTAAAACATGCGGACAGAATGTGTATTGGGTATACAGTGTGAAGGGCGAGTCTATCTTAGATAATATGATGTCTATGGTCTACATTCATCAAAGCATACATCTTCAAATGAAGTTACAAAACGTCATGGACATGGGGAAAAGAACTATCATGACGTTAGTGAACGTCATGGGCAGCGAAATTGTTAAAAACCATCTGTTTCGAATAAAATGAAGTTTAACAAGTTTATTAACATTTTAAAAAAAGTATTTTGATAGGTCATTCGATAGACCTCATGTTACCTTCGAGCATATACTAGAGCCATCGTCCAAATGGACTTTGTTTTGGTACAGGGGGGAAATATAGTGTCCAGCATTCCCATTGGTCTGTTTCCTTTTGCTTGGCATGTCAAATCGTTCGAAATTGTCAGAACTGTCATTTGATTTTTGACTTTCATTAATTTCTAGCTTATTTTTGTAGTTTATAAGTGATTTTTTGTATTTCATTACTTTAGTGATACAAATTTTAACAATGGTGAGAGTTTTTGTAAGTTTTAAATAGAAATACGAAAAGGCATCGTCAAGGTCATTTTACAAGTAACCATTAGCGTCTCTACCATTTTTTTAAAAGAAACATAAGTACCTACATTTTATGTGTGTGTGTATGTATTTCTGTTTGGCACTGGTTTCAAAACCAACTGGCCAGTCAATCTTTAATTAATTTTAATAAAGTTTATTTTGTGTCATGAATTTAAAATAAATGGTAAATTTAGTGAATTAAATTTAAAGAACTTGTATTATGTATGAGGAATATTGTTTTAGATTTTGGACTCATTTTATCATGATAATGTTGAAGAAGTTAAATCAATAATTTTTCCAATTAATCCTGCCGAAAAACGCATTTGATGAAACGTATTGAAACTTACTCCAGACAACATTTCAAATAGTGATGTTTTATGTTCCAATCATTTTTCTGGGCATATGTTTATGTCAAAGACTGGATGCGGAGGAAAAACTAGATTAATTTCAGGTGCATTGCCATCAAGACTTACTGAGGTCCCAGAAGAAGATGAAACTAAAAGCTAAAGAACCCTGCACTTGTAGATTAATCGTTAATCGTTTAATTTTTCAGTCATGATCTAAACCATGAAGCCTCTGTTGCAGAAAAAGAAAATTCAGAATTAGAAAGCAAATAAGTAACTAAGTACTTTTTAATACAACATAAATTTTATTTTCAAATACTTACCTATTACTAACTATATTTTTTATAAATCACAAAAATTGACAATCAATATTTTTTATTAAATATACCTATGTTATTTAATTAAGTAGACTGCTAGTCGTTAAGAAATAAGCAAAGCCTATGTGATTTTTTCATTAAAAAAGTAATTTTAAGCTTCTTTTATTTGCACTACTAGTCATTAAGAAATAATCGAAGCTTAAGACAGTTTACCGATAAAAATTAAGCTTCACTTATTTGTTAACGACTGGCAGTGCAAATATACCTAAGTATTAGCATGATTTCTATTTGTAGTATATAGTTTAGTAATCTATTGAACATTGTTTACGAACAATATTTTTATGTTTAATAAATTATTGGAAAAAATTATTTTATTCTAATTCTCGTACACGTGTGTTAATAGATATCATAAATATTTTTATATTATACCTAATATTTATTTATATTTTTGATTTTTAAATATAAGCTCTTTATCTTTTTTAATGCCTATTATTTCAACCTTAAGTTTTCCGTATTACACTTTCTGATGTTTTAATTAAAAAAATCTGATGTGTCCACACAATAATAAATAATAATAATAATAATAATAATTTTCTATTACTAGATACCTAATTAAATAATGCAAGTTTATAAAATATGTGAATAATTTAAAGAATTTTAAAGGTATATATCAAATTTATTATTTATATTAATTGCAAACCCTGTAAAAATGATGCGACACTGAAAATAGTGTCTACCTATTACCCCTCATAACCCAAACAAACTCTGTTGAATGCGGACTCTATGAAATATATATGCTCGAAGCATGTTACAGGAACGCCATCTGGTAATTATTAAAATATTACTCCTCATTGAACGGAAATTGCCTTTTATGACAACTTGTCAATTCTGTCAAATATGTCAGTATCATTGTTTTGGGATTACTTTTTTTTTTAGTCAATATGTAGCAACCATTTCGTAAGCAGTAAATCTGTCATATGTATGGGTATTAGAAACTCTAAATATTCTATCACTCATGCGTTATTGCAAGAAATCATTTCTAACTACTGCAGCTGGAACGATTCTTATATTGTGTTAAAAAAAATGCTATCGAATACATTATTTCTTTTATTTTCAGTAAAACGTTACAATTTAACGAAGCAAGAAGAAATAACGTTGAAACCTATAAACTATTTTGGACAGTTTATTCTACACTATTATATTATTACAAATGACACACCATTTAATCATTATATATGTATGTATACAATATAAATTTAATAAATTCATCGTTTTTCCGTTTACAACTAAAACTGTCAAAGGCTCATTACAGTCTTCGATAACTACATCCATTTTATAATTATATAATTTTATTACATATAAGAATATATTTTCACCTGCATATGTCTAACACCATTTGCACAATGTGTATGTTGTTTAAATAATTTGTGATATCCAATATCAATGCAAGGTTATGCGTCACTTGTCCAATTTTAACACAGAGTGGTGCTTAAGTATATATTTTTTTTTTTTTATTCAATAAAATTAATACATTTTTACAATAAATATTCACATACATACCGTACTAATGGTATACACAATAATTTTTGTGTCACTACTTACTTATTATATATTATAGCATTTATTAGGTGAAAGTTTTCACTTAGGATTTTATTAAGTTTAAAAAAGAGTACATTATGAATTTCCTTTTATTATTATTTAAGGTATTTATTAGAGTAAAATAATTTTATTGCCATGCACTCATTATTTATGTACTTCTTTTTTAAATAATTTGAGTTAGTAAATTAAATTAAAAAAAAAAAATGAGTTTATAGATGAGCAAAGGTTTATTTTATACAATTATTATAATTTTCGAACCTTAAATTTCTCTTGTAAAGCTTTTACATTTTAAAGCATGTTAACTTCTTATTAACAAGCCAATTATTTTATTAAGTGTAGCTTTCGTACAGAAACGGTGTGTAAACTACCTAACATTGCATTATTATAAGTTAAATATAATAATTATAAATGTAAAAAATTTACTCGATTCTTAAGCCAATCACTTTACTATAAAACTAAAATGTTTATATTATCCAGGTAAATTTTATTATGAATTTAATTTTAATTCTTAATAATTCTGAACTATAGATAAATCCTTGTTGTTTACTCAGACTTATGTAGGAACTAGATGCACACGTTTATTTATCTTTAGCAAAACTGCAAAAGTTAATTTTTACAAGATTCAATAAGTTCTTAAAACGGCTTTTAGAAGATGCACTTTTACCCTATTTTCAAACAATTTAAGCTTATTAAATTTTTATTATCGTTTAGAGCCATTAAAACAACAATGATTCATCTAAGATAAAAAAGTATAAAATTTACAGACCAGTGATAAAACTAGATTAATATTTACACAAACCTTTCAGTCAAATTTAAAAGAATAACTTGTTCGTTTTTTAAGAAAAATCTGTTTTTTCACCGGTACTGTATTCGTTTAAATATAAAGTGACTAGCATTAACAAATAACCAACAAAATAAAACAAACAATATATTTTTAATCTCTTACTCTTCCTATTATAGCCAAAATATACATGAAAATATTAATAACATCCACGTACAAGTTGATAGCGGCAAAAATATACTCTTCAGGCGAAATAGAATACGTATGCTTTCCTCCCATCATCAGTTGGGTGTCATACACAAGGTAAACCGAGAATATCAGTGCTCCTAAGGAAGCATACACCAATTGCACAATCTTATTGTGGACAAAAATAGCAACGATTCCAAACAGAAACAATATCAACACCGCTACGAATAATATCCCTCCCATCATGGTGAAATCCCATTTCGTTTGAAAAGCAAACAGGGTCAGTCCCAAGCAAACAGCTGCTGTAATTCCCACGGCCATAGCCACGGCGTCAGCCTTGTAAGTAGAAGCCGAGCATGCCAAACAGAAACTTTCGGCTAAAGTAAATATGAACAAAAAGATGAAATTGGCTGGTGCTTTCCTACGTAATTCCCCGCAACATGCTAAAGCTATAAGAGTCACGAATACAACTACCAGTGAAGCATAGAACAAAGCAATGTGATGTTGGACATAATACTTGGTCGGCTCGTGATAAAGAAACCAGCAAATAAACGTTAGAGTTATTCCGAGCTGTACCGATAAAATTGAATAGACCTTCTTAATGAAACCTCTTCTGATGGATTGATCGTTGAAATCGAAGCCTTTAACTTCTGGGTCTTCTCCGTAACCTGAAGCGCCGCCATAGTTACCTGCAAAAATTTTAAGTTAGAATAAAGGTCACCTTAGTTGTAGCTTTCAAATGCACCCCCTCCTGTTAATAATACTCTATTAGAATCTTCACCTTCTGGCATTATCCAGTGCCGCAATATACAAAATAATTATAGAATTTTAATCAAATAAAAAAAATGGTGCGGGAACTGTCAACAAATATCATGCTGTCAAACTGTCTTATAGTCACTCCACAGAATATACACATACAGAAGCAAAGGTACAGCTATGGTATTCTGTGGCTAGAGATGTGGCAAAGGCTTGTGACTATGAAGACTAGAGAGAAGGAGGCGAATCGGCAATGGTCAAATTTCAGTCCTTCTTTTTATAAAGTTCGCGAAATTGACTGTAGTTGGCATGTCTAATGACAGCGCAGTCAATTTTCTATGTAAGTCAATGTAAAATAAAAAAAAATGACGAAAAGAATCAAAATAATGTGAAAAAAAGTACCTGAGTACAAGTAACATGAGTGACAAAAAACATCAAAGCAAGATTTACGTCGTTACAGATTGTAAAACAGGATAAAAATCAAATGTAAAACTAAAGAAAACACAAGAAGAAATCAATTCAATGTCTTTTTAAAGCTTTTAATGTAAGTAAAATAATGTATTCGTATCTAAATATAATATTTATTGTAAAATAGTCACAATATGTATCTTACGAAGTGTAGTTTATTTTAAGTTTCTATAATATAAAATTGTATAGTTATAGATGCTGACTTACAAACAACAATAATTCTACATTAAATTTAATTTACTAGAGTTTTAATGTTAGATAAAGAGTTGCTACTGTTATTTTTTTTGGACCACATTGTAAATGTTTTTTATAGGATACTAAACGTTTATAACAGTAGCAGCATATATATACAGGGGGCCCCAAATTGTTTTACCCAGGCTATAACTTCTAAACCATGCAAGATAATCAAACCGGACAAAAGTCATTCATTGGCGGTGTACTTTAAAATAAATGAAAATTTGACGACCCACCCTCAAAAACTACCCCCTGGAACAACCCCCTCAAAAATTATTAACGACTACCTAATTTTTTTTTCTGCTCATTTTTGTAGTCGCTACTTTTCTCTGTACAACTGTTCTTAAAATTTTAAAATCGCTCCATAAATAAGTGAGAAATTAAATAAAACTGTATGTCAAGTTGATGATAAAAAATACTTTATTAGGTGACACATAATTAAAAAAAACAAGAGAAGGAGAATACAAGAAATAAATATCAACAAACAAAGAGTAGTAATAACTTATAATAAGTGCTCAAATTGCCCACCTCCCACTTCCACACATTTGTCAAACCTTAACAATAAATTTCTAGTACAGGCAGCTCGAATCATGGCCGGTGTAAATCTGTTACAAGCACGTCTGATTCTATTTTTTAAATCTTCTAAGTCCTCTGGTTTTGTTTCGTATACTACGTCCTTTATAGTACCCCAGAAAAAAAAATCTAGAGGCGACAAATCAGGTGACCTAGTCGGCCACTGGATAATTGGAGAATGCGTGGATATAACACGGTTTCCATAAGTGTTTGCCAAATATTGGCTCACAATTTGTGCATTATGAGCTGGTGCACCATCTTGCTGCCACCAAATATCACGTCTTTGATTAGGAGGAACACCTTCCAACAACTCAAGAACGGTATTGATTAAAAAATCACGATATCCTATTCTCGTTAGTGTTTTCATAAAAATGAGGACCTATAATCCTACCATTGAACAAACCACACCAT